GCACATCGCACGTTTCTGAGTGTGTGGCAGCGCTGGTGTTGCACTGGGGGCGGAGGGTTGCTTTCCACTGGGATAAGCTCGCCACAGGGTTGGGAGGAGGAGCGCTGAGTGCCTGGCACCAGGCAGCGGGGAGGGCGCAGGGTTTTTGCTCCGCAGGGTCAAGTTGGTGTAAGCTTGAGGGTCCAGTTTCATAGCGTGGTCCAGACTGTTGCTGGAGGAAGCTATCCCCCTTTCTCGCCCTCTCTGTCTTCTGCTACTTTCTTTGTTTTGGTGGGTAAGTTAATTTTCCAGATCAACTCTGATTCAGTGGGAAACAAATCACTTTTTTTGTGGGTAGGCTTTTCTGTCACATGGAACTGCTGATGGAATTGATTTTTCCCGTGTATCATCTGTGGATGTGAGACTGTACGGTGGTGTAGAAGGAAGGAAAATAAGTTTGCCATTTCAACAGAAGCTTGCTCTTAGATTATGCTAGTGTTAAGTTAATGCTGTGCTTTGCCTTGAATTTTAGGGACATGAACCCACTTAGCAGAAATGACTCAGCTAATGAATGGGCTGGCAGCAGAATCTCCTGGACCCTGTTCCACAGGAAGGTGACCCATGGGGAAGCTGCATGTTAGTGACATACTGTTTGTTTTGCTCTATAGCACAGTGATGCGTGTGTGCTGGCTTGTGAGGAAAGAGAAATGCAGCCAGCGAATAAAACTGCCACACTTGGAAGCAGTGGTGATTGGGCGTGGCCCAGAGACTGGGATAACAGATAAGAAGTGTTCACGGCAGCAAGGTAATGTTTAGCTCCAAGCCTGCTTTCTACATGCAACAGCAACCTGACTTGTGAAGAGCGTGAGATACAAGTACAGCAGTCATGTTTATCAATAAGCATCATTCTTCTGTTCAGCTAAATTACAGGGAAGCCAACAGACCAGTGTTTTGGCCTGATTCATAAGCCTGCTTTGAGCACGGTCTAAATGGGAAATCACAGTATTTTCTTGAAAGCCAAGCGAGCCTTCCTTAGGCTGACTTCTGCAGTCACTGGCTCATGGTCGTCTCCTTTCTCTGCGTGGTACTTAGTGTTGCTTGATTCTTGAAGTCATCCAGCTTTTTTATATGCATGTATGGAGACCTCTGGGTCCTAAAAACTCAGAGCAAACACCTAATAACAGGAAATTCACCTTAGTTTACAAAGGCATTGACCCTTAACATGAGACCCCTGCTCGCAGCCCTGTTCCGCTCCCTGCACTCTTGCCTCGTGGGTGGCACTTCATCTCTCTAGTCTTCCACCAACTGACTTTTAGTGTGACTTGTTATTTTATAGATGCAGTGGGAGAATATATAAAAATATCTGTGATCTATAAAATACTCCCCTTCACATCTTCCCTGCCTTAACTTTCTTCCCTCTGGACACAGTCCTGCTCCATGCCTTGTTGTCGCAGAGGGCTGGTGAGAATAGCCAGAACGTGTAGAAGACTTCCATAGATTTTGCCTTTATTCTGAAGTGATTTTGCTGATCCATGATGTGAAATATACAGGTGTGACTCAGTTGTATGGGTTGGTTCTGTTTTACCTGTGGTCCTGGAAACAGGATGAGGCAGAAGTATTCTTTGTGTACGTTCACAGAGATCAGCTTCAGAATGTAGCAGATCTTA